ACAAATACACACATACGAATATTGACCATAATCCACGCTTAGCCCTTAAACCGGTACTAATCACGTCCTAAACAAGTCTAAAAATACCCATAGTCCTAAATAAGGATTAGGAGGTCACTTACTTCAATTTGGCACAAGAAAAACTCGCGCGGGCTCAAAACGGGCGGGATGAATAGTAACAACGAGGGCACGACGGGCGCGGGGTTTGGCCACGGCTCGGCACACGGCCACGGCCCGGGGCAGTCCGGCCACGGCCTGGGCAAGCTCGGGCTGGTTGGGCAGCGGCTAGGTGAGCTCGGCCACGGCCCGGACGCTCGGGCGACGGCGACGACAACGGCGGTTGGGCTGTCCTGGTGAGTACGGCGGCCGCAAGTGGCTGAGCAAGGTTGCCGGGGGCCGAGGGTGGCGGACGACGAGCAACAGCAGGCGCGGCGGGCCGGACGAGGCGGCGCCGGGGAAGAGAAAAACAGGGGAGACGTCGGGGAGGAAGGAAAAAGCAGGGGAAAGGGGGGGTGCAGTAGCTGCCAAGGGGCAGTGGGCGGAGGAGGGGATCATGGGAAAGACTGGGGGCAGCGGGGCATACAGGCGGCTGGAACGGTGGCACGCGTCGGCGGCCGGAACGGCGACACGCGGCGGCGGCGAAGCCTTGAGCCCGAACAGGGGAAAGCACCGGGGAAGAGAGAAACAGGGGAAGAGGAGGTCGCGCGACGGCCGGAGGCGGCACGGCGGCGTCTCGGGTGGCCGGGCGACGGAGGACGAGGCCGGCGGGACGGGCCGGGCAACGCCGGACCGCGGCGGATGCGGCAAGGCGAGCTTCTTCTCGCGTGCAACGCGGGGGCCGGCGACCGAGCGGGGCCGGTGAGCGGCGGTCGCGGGTGACGAGCGGTGGCTCGGCTCGGTCGGGCAACGGCGGCGCGAGGCGAACGGCAGACGGTGGCTGGGCTGGTCCTGGTGAGCAACAAGCAGGAGGCCAGAGCAGTCGCGGCCGGAAGAGAAGACCCACGGAGAAGAAGAAGAAGAGAGGAAGAAAATAAAAGAAGAAGAAAGAAAGAAAAGGAAGAGAGAGAGAGAGGAATGGATGGGTCTGACAAGGGGGGGACAGACGTGCGAAGAAGGGGAAAGTGACCGGAGAGAGAGAAAGAGAGAGAGAGAGAAATAAATAAACATTCAAATAATAATTGCGATCCAATGGCCTATATTTAAAACCGAAAGCGATCTATCGGTCCAAATTAATTCTAGAATATAATAAGGGACAAAGGCCAAATTAATTAAATCAAACTACCTTGAGGGAGGTCTACTAGTCCAAATGTGCACCCGGTCAAAAATCCACTTTTCACATATCCCGGGCAATATCGAGGCTGGCCACAATAATATCGACACCGTCCAATTAAATTCGTCCCGAAACTCGGAGAAATTCGACACCAAAGTTTGGGCTCTAATTAACGGCAAAAATTCGATCGAATGCAATTTTAGCGAAATCTCAAATTTAAAACAATAACCGGGAGTGATCAGTTCCCGGACGAGATTTTACTATAAGCATATTGACGAATTACATATTTTATAAATCCCAAAAATGGGCCGAAATTCGGAATGTCACAATCCGCATGCACAAAGTTGAGTTTAAGGGGTATTTCAGTTATTATCTTAAGTCTTGGAGGGCATATTAGACAATTTTAAGTAGGGAAAAAACCAGCAAAAACTCCGAACTTTGCCATCTGTGACACATTTACCCCGAACTTTCATTTGTGACACCAAAAACCCCAAACTATGCTATTTGTGACACATTTACCCAAATGTATTTAGTCCATGGGCATTTTCGTCTTTTTTGCTTTTTCTTTTTTTTTTCTCTTTTTTTTTTCCTTTCCGGCGAGGGCCACCCTCGCCGGCGTCGGGTGAGGGGGGCCCTCGCCGGCGTCGGGCGAGGGTCGCCCGACTCGAGCGAGGTCGACCTCGCCGGAGTCGGGCGAGGGCCGCCTCGCTCGGCCCGAGCGAGGCGACCTTCGCCCGACGCCGGCGAGGGCCGCCCTCGTCCGACGCCGGCGAGGGCCGCCCGACGCGGCGCGCGCGAGGGCCCCTTCGCCCGACGCGAGCGAGGGCCCCCTCGCCGAGATCCGGTGAGGGCGACCACCTCGCGACGTCGGGCAAGGGTCGCCTCGCATGAGTCGGGCGAGGGTCGCCCTCGCCGGATCGCGGCGAGGCCGCCTCGCCGGCGTCGGCGAGGGCCGCCTTGCTCTCCCTGGGCGAGGGCGACCTCGCCGACGCCGGCGAGGTCGCCTCGCGAGATCTGGAGAGGGCCGCCTCGCTCGACGCCGGCGAGGCCCCTCGCCGGCGTCGGGCGAGTGGTCGCCTCGCCCGGGCGGCGAGGGCGGCCCTCTCCCGGCCGCCGGCGGGGGCCTCGACGGATCCGGCGAGGGCCGCCCTTGCTGACGCCGGGCGAGGGCCCCCTCGCCGGACGCCTGGCGAGGGGCCCTCGCCGGATCCGTGAGGGGCCTGCTTAACGCCCGGCGAGGGCCCCTCACGGAAAGGAAAAAAAAAGAGAAAAAAAAAAAGAAAAAGAGAAAAAGACGAAAATGCCCATTGACTAAATACATTGGGGTAAATGTGTCACAAATAGCATAGTTTAGGGTTTTTGGTGTCACAGAAAAAAGTTCGGGGTAAATGTGTCACAGATGGCAAAGTTTGGGGTTTTTGGTGGTTTTTTCCCTTTTAAGTATAAAGGGTATTTTGCTCATTTCGAGTCAATGGGTACCTAGGTAATTTTCATAAAGAATGATCTATAGCTCAGCCTCGGGTGTGGACCTACCGGGCCAAGCTCGATTGCTGGCCTTGCCGACAAGGCCCTAGGGCCATGTTTAGGCCACGACAAGGGCACAATGAGGCCATGGGCCCGACCACGTCTAGACCATGGTTAGATGTGGATGTAACCATAATCTGGTTAGCGAGAAGATCATCCCGCCGATGCTATTCAGCAGCAATGGCCGCCATTCAACCCGGTCAAGGGAGAAAGGTGGCGACGAGGATGAACATTGTCTTTACGAAGTTGACTGCCATGTTTGCGAGGAGATTTTTGTCAAGGGAGATGATATCGGCCTTCTTGAAAATGCGGGGCTATAGAGTAGTATGATGTCGATGCTAGAGGCCTGTTGGATGAAGTAGATCCCAATCGTGCAGATGAGCATGTGGTGAATGGATGGGATTAGGTGGAGAAGGAGATCTTGCAACACGCCCTCCCTAGTGTTCTGCTTGGTTTTCTGCTCGGTTTTCTGCTCCTCCTTCTTCATATAGATGTAGTAGAAACTCAATGTAACTTTCATTTTCGCCAATCGACATCCAACGGTGGTCATTTTGGTTTAGTGGACACAAATTTTGGTTAAAATTTGTGCCGTTTGACAAAAATGAAAGTCATAGGGGGTTCCTGTTACGTCTATACGAAAAATGAGGAGAAGAACACCAAACAGAGCGGTTTTATTTCTTATGCCTCTTTTCCTTTCTTGGCTAAGTGACACCATGTTTTCACGTATTATCAATCATTTTTTAGTACACACTGAATCCCCATTATTTAGGTCTTGGTGAGGGAGGCACACAAGAAAAGCAAATTATTTTTCTTACGACGAGTTACCAAGGCTTATGGAGATCCGTCCTAACCAAGAACAAAATGCCGTAAAACCAAATTATTTTTCTTATGATGATTTACAAAGATTTATGATGATATGTTGTAACCAAGGATATGTCGTAATATTAATTTTTTGCTTGCAACGATTTGCAAAGATTTGTGACGGTGTATCGTTACTATGAGTAAATCATCGTAAAATTAAAATTCTATTTCTTGTGAAGATTTACAAATGTTTATGTTAGTCCCTCGTAACCTTGAACAAAACATCTTAAAATTGAATTCTTTTTCCTAACTTATAAATTAAATTACTACAAAGGTTTTTGAAGGTCCGTTGTACCAAGAGCAACATAACATAAAAATCGAAACTTTTTTCTTATAACGGTTTGTAATGTTGCGATTTTTTTTACTCATGAACAATAGAAAATATAAAATAACGAACTTGTTATGGTGTCACAATATTTGTGTCAATAAGTAATAACAAGTGAAAACGAATATAGCTAATATAGATTAAATAGGTCGACTTAGATTAGCTCATTAATTGGGTCGACATAACACATCTGATAAAAAAAATAGATTAGACGATATCGATTTCGAATTATACGAGTTGAAGTTTAAGACGGTCCATTTATCAATCATTTCAAACGCATTGAGGACGGTTATAACACCGACCTCGAAATATTAATCCACGGCACAAGAAATTTTGGTATGTGTGTACGACATTGTACGGAGTACCAAGTGAAGCTGCTCCTACGTCGTGCTTTGGAACAGTAGCCCTGTTCTCGTCAATTACGAAGCTGCCTCCCCCCACCCCCATCCGTGAGTTATGACGCCGCTTTCTTCTCTCTTTTCGAAGATAAAAGCGGTTTCGAGTCGCCGCGCGAGGCGGACAAACCTACTGCAGATGTCTTAACACGTGGCTTCGGACAACCTGTCATAATCCGATAAGCTCCGACACGGGTCCCCTCTCCTCTCCTCTCACATCTGGATAAAGGGGGGGGGGGCCCCACCGCGCAGTGTGGCCGGCGGCGACATCTCGCCGTCCACCACCGCCGGAGGAGAACATGAGTGGGGCGAATATGTGCGATCCATCCGTCGACTTGTCTGCTTTATTCTCCCACTCAAAACTGAATTAACAATGTCTCGTTGCGCCAAAAAGGTCGCTCCCACTAATCTTTAGCTTTCCTTCTCCTGCTTTGGTTCTGCTGCTTTTTTCCTTTTCTTTCCTTTCTTTTTCGATCTAGGAGCAACGGAAACGATTCCTCATCTTTAATTTGCATTTTGATCAACTGGGTTATTCGGTGCCCGCAAGGTTTTAGCTGAGAAATTGATTAGTAGGTCTGATGGTGGTGGTTCCAGGCTTGGCGGTGATTGATCGATTATCTGGAAATGAAGAGAACCCGTTCTCATCTCAATTCCTCTCCAAAAATGATTTACATTTCCCGATTAGCCATGAAAAGGGAAGTAAAGGGGGAAAAAGAAAGAAAGAAAGAAAGAAAGAAGAAGGCCTCAAAGCCAAAATCGAAACAAAACTTGGTTTTTCTCGCTCTCGCCACACGCAATCACAGACTGCTTGCTAATCCTGTTGCTGGGTTTGATCCTCTGCTGCTTCTCTGTTTTCTTCAGCAGCTGCTGAATTATGACCATGACCAACGTGACCTCCAACGTCATCGTTGTTGATGTCAGTAGTCTCCTTGGTCTTGTCGCAATTCTCTTCCTTCTCCTTCTTCGCATCGAAGCTCTCCCCATCGTCGCCATTGCTCTTGCATTGGGAATCGCCGAAAGAAGGGCCTCTGCTGCACATCGGCGTGGCGAGGAAGGTGGGCTTCTCGTCGCCGGCCATGATCACCACTATCTTCTCTTCGTACACCTTCACGGCCTTGTTGTACCCTTCTCCCTCGACCGTCTTTGCTTCGCCCCCGTTCTCTTCGTCTCCCTGGGCGCCGCTCGAACTGCCGGAGAGCCTCCAGTAGGAACAGGCCAGGATCAAGAGAGCGAAGCCTATGAGCCCCAGCATCGCCGCCAGGCCTCCGAACAGGTACGGCACAGGGGAGTGCCACGGCGACCGGTGCGACGCCGTCGGCACCGCAGGCGGGGTCGAGACCGTCGCCGTCGACAGGGGTGCGTACGTTGTGTCCGCGAGGGTTCTCATCTCTCTTGCGTTCTTCGTCCTTTTTTCCTGTTTAAAGTTTTGATTTTGCAGTGGGTGTGAGGTAGGAGAAGAAGAGGAGGTAAGGAACTTGAACTTGGAGGAATGCGGAGTGCCAACTGTGTGCCCCTGTATATATAGTGGGGGAGGAGAGAGAGAGAGAGGTGCAATTGTATATGCTTTAACGTTGGTGGGGTCACAGGTTTGGTTGCGAGTTGTACAACACGATGACGACATCAGCACCGAGAGCTTCATTCTTGTGTTTTCATATTTTCCTTGCTTTGATCCTTTTGCACTGCTTCTTGCCCTGGTGGAGTATGCAGACGTGAATCCTCTAGTTTAGGAATTTATCCCTCAAATCATGACGTTGACAATTGAGAGATGCAAATCTTTATCCTTTTCATAACGATGGAGGTATCTAATCTTATCCCAAATAGATGTGGTAGTCGCCTATCTCATGTACATTAGATGAAAATTAGAGTACCTAAATCAGGTATAGTTCTAGGGGTGACTCTAAGAAGACCCACGATAAAGGTGATTCAAAACTAGATTTTGAACAATAGACGTGAGCGTGCCTAAAAAGTTTTGCGATATTTCGATGAGTTTTACATTTGAGATCATGATTGAAACATGTCAATGGATTCAAAAAGAGCAAGTTTAGATTGACCCTAAAGAAACATTTAGGCAAAAAGAATTTGGGAATGTACGGGCTTAAGAGACCATTTGTAGCTCGGCAATTGCCTAAAGAACCTAGAGAATTCAAAAGTGAAAGTCTCTAGATCTGACCGACTGAGCAAATCTTTTTGTCTTGGCCCATTTGTCGAAGCTATAACTAGGGATGACCAATTAGACAAGCTGCGAGCTAGGGTTGAGCTCAGATTATAGTCTACCTAACTTTGCTACCTAAATGGTAGCTAGGGAAAAAATCCTAAATGCGCCAGGTACAAGCAAAGTGATGGCGAGTCAAGTTTTTCTCTGCAACATACTTATCCAAAGCCACCAATTTTGCCTTCCGGCCGCGCGTCCCGCCTAGCTGATGATTTTCGCTATTACCATCGAATTCAAGTCTATACAAAATCTCCACCAAGTTGAAGAGGGCGGTCAGATTATTACGCCCCTAAACGTCTCCCTTTGCAAAACAGGTGAGTGATGGAGATGCGATTTACAAAGAACTACTTCATGGCCACGAGTCAAGGGGACTTATAGACAGAGTAATCAAGAATATCCTAATCTAAACTAAATGGGCGATTGAGAAACAGTCAGTTACTAAATATAGCTGCAATCCTTGGACCTCATCTAGATTAGATCCGGGGCATAGCTTGTTGGTTAAGATATTTGTGCGATATTCTCATCCTAGAACAAGCTTGAGATGATGTGGACCTAGGGAAGTAAAAAGCAACAGAGTTGATGCCTAGCCCAGTTGAGGTGCACGCACGATGGTGGGATCAAATCATCCAAAGGAGGATTTGGTGCTTTGTGAGCCAAAACTTGCACTAATAAGCTTATGCATCTAAGAATAGAATTTCAAGATCTGCAGCGATTCTCTCTCTTCATACGTTAAAAACTCTATCCAAAATGGCAAAGGTAATATTCTTGGGGGCGGCAGCGCTTGGCTAATCAATCAGCTATGGCGCACTAGCACCCGCAAGTAGAATGACACCATCGTCACCATCATCGCCATTGGCAGATGAAGCACGAAAACGAAAGGAATAGCATTTCGGGTAAAGTGGGAACGACGCGCGTTCCATCTTTCATTTCGAACTTCATCATTCGTCCTTTCGAATTTAACCCTCAAGGTGTTCCCTTTCTGCGTCATCCCATAATAAGCCTCAGCAATATACGGTTTATGCTTTTTTACATCCGTTTTTTCGTTTCATTTGTCTAATTTGATGATTACGAGGAACCCCATTTCGGTTGATGTTGATTCTTGATGGATTAAAAACCCAAACCATGCAAGTCATGAACCGAACAAGAACAGAGTCGAATTAGGGTTTTTCGCTTGCGCCTTTGAATCCACGCGACCACTCTCTTGCGAGAACCCTTCTGGTAAAGCTTGGATTGTCAGCCTGTTCGTCTTGTCGTTTTCAAGGCGCATGTATTTACCGTAGCTCTCGAGCGATGTCAAGAGCCGTATTATTATTCCGACCCAAATCGTCCAAATGGACAGGAATCTGATGTTGACTTTGGTCGAGCTTGCTAAGGAAGACTGTTACATTCCTTGTTCTGTAGGATTCCCATCGTCCTCTCCCTTCTGGCAAACTTTCTGAGGAAAGTACAGTGTACAAGTGATCGGAAGATGTCCATAATTACTACCTTCACTGTACATAAAATAGGGTTTGACGAATCTTGGGTTAGATGCCAACATGTTAGGAGCTTTCTGCAACTTGTGTGAATCTAGGTGAATGTGGATTCACAGTCAAATGAATTGTAGCTCGACCACAAATTGCAAGAGCTATGGAAGCGGATACGTGCACCCTGAAAATGTAGTTGAATCGTAGGTGAAAGAAGTCTCGCGTCTAAATCTTCACAGGCAATGTAGGTATTTTTCAACTGCTGCAACATTTGACCTCGCGTCCAAGTCATTCTTCATTTTATCACAAGCATGCATTTGCAGTCATATATATCTCCATTCAGATAACTCTCGCCCTCTTTCATTGTGAATATTTTGAGATTAACCATTTATCCTAATGTGCTGTCTTAATCTACAAATGTTTTACATACAAAATGTTAACATATAAATCGATCACATTTCGACAATAGCTCGTGGTGGGTCAAGTGAACGAATCATCGTCTTTCGGAAACTCACATAACTGAAAATAAAAGCAGGCACTAAAACATGAGTACGAATCGCTTCATACATAATGCAATAAATGGAACTATCAATCACGTCGCACAAGAAATTATATTGTTAAATGCTTTCCAATATATTAGGTCCTGTATAATTTTTTTTTATAATATGATAGAATGAGTCTAAACAATAGCTTTTTTAGTTACCGGCAATCACTTACGAGACCCTCAATCGTTCAATCTTTGAATATAGATCTCCTGACCTTACTCAAATATCCATTTTATATTTTTTATTTCTTTTGCTTGACAAATGACTTTTAATAAGTACCCTTGGCATTAAAACAATATAAAAGTCTTTCTTCATGGAGAGTGCTTCCACATAAACGAGTTCCAAAACATTCATCACCCTCCAACGAGATATCGCACATCACGGGCGATTGTACTACCATGAGCTCTCTAGCAAGCTTCACATTATGTACAGAGAGAGAGAGAGAGAGAGAGAGAGAGAGAGAGAGAGAGATCTTTTGGGAACAAGCAGTCGTGGGTCGTGACTAAGAAAACCACCAACGTTAGTGCGCTATATCCTTCCTATGTTGCGCCAACGTCATTATTCGATAATTCTTATATTATCTTTCGTGCTGCGAACATGATATAACATTGATCTGTCACAGATGTCCCTTGTGCTGAGACCGTTTGCACTTCCGGCTTCTTCCATCCGTTATCTTTGTTCTTTTACTCCTCATCGACCCATTGGTTCACACTTTCTGGTTCTATTCACGAGCTGATATGCGCCAAAATCGATCCTTTTTGTCAAAAAGAACAATCTTTTTTTCCTCATCTAATCGTCATTTTTCTTTATTTTCTTAAAGAGCCTGATGTTTTTGCTTTTTGCTTTATAGATATGAGCACCCAAAGTTTCTTCAATCATGATGAGAACTGTGCTGGACCTTTACGTCCATTAAGATTTAGATGCTAATTGAAGTTTGCTAGTGTCCGCACTGTTCTGCTTCGCTTTGCGTAGGCCCTTAGAGCCACTCGGAGCTGAAATTCCCCCACGTCTCTTTGATTCTACATAGGTCCCATCAGTCTTCTTTCGATATGATTTCTGATCATGGTGGTTTCTGTTGGAGTTGGCGAATACTTTGAGGACCTTTATTTCTCATATCAGGTATGTCCACGTGAGTTTAAGGAAACCGAAATATGAACCGACGACATGTGACCTCTACGCATGGAATGTCGGGGGTTCCGCTGTCCGAACAGCGGGCGGGGGTTCCGTTCCCCGGTGAGCGGACGGGGGCTCAGGGACAATGCCCCCTAAACAACATCGGGTTTGCTGACCCGTTTATTGTGGGATTAAATGGATTCAAATAGACTTGGGCTTTGGGCCTATTTTAAGTCCTATATATTGTACTCGTATGAGATATTATTGTAACGAGTAGTTGTGGTTGTAAACATAAATATCATAGTGGAATCCCTTTGAAGGATATAGCCCTATTCTGGGGTGAAACTGGGTAAACTAGTGTGTCAATTTTTCTATTATCTATGTGATTGTTCTGATTCTGTTTAGGATAAATCCCATCAATTTCACCCCATACATCGAATTCAATCTGCGCAAATTGTTTGCCCGGTAATGGCCCTCTCATCATTGTCAAGTCATTATAAGACTTTAGAATGCTAATTTTCTAAAAAATATATATGCAAACGAAGTTCACCAAAGTTGAGGTTTTCGGTTTCGTATCCGGAAAAAAAACAAAGAACCAGATGCGCGATCGACGAGTTGGTCCTCGTGATTTGCGGCAGCGTCCCGTAGATTTTAACATCAAAAGATAGGTGCGTTTCTACTTTTATTAAAGAGATATCTCGGCTAAAATTTAGATTTCTTTGAAAAAAGAAAAAGAGACATAGACAATTGGAACTTTGTAAATCATCCTCTCACTCATATGCTTGGCCCTTTATAATTCTGATGCATGAATTCCTCCGCACACTGTGTTTAAGAGGGTAGGGGGGGACAAAAGGAGGAGCAAGATAAATTAAAGTAAAAGCCACTTTGTTATGGGAAAAAGGAAGGGAATAATATCTTAATTGCATCATTATGGGTATTGTTTGATCTGATGGCAACATCACGCATTTCAATCATAGAGAAGCTGGATTATGGAAGAGACATGAAAAAGAACTAATAGTGGATATAGCACTCAAGCTTGGCCAAATCCATTTCTAATAAACAATTAGATGGGTGCTGGAAATTTGTGTCACAATGCATGATATAAAGAGAGAGCTTCTGTTCCCTTGCACTTTTTCCTATTCTTGTATAAGCTTTTTCATTATTGT